AAAAGATTCAAAAGCGGCTAGTTGTGTTCAATTTTCATAACACGTGCATTGGCACAAGTGAAGCCAAGGGTGATAAATATATTCTATTTGCATTTTGCATATTTATTTGCATGTGAATATTTTAAGTGAACCACTGTTGCTATGGCATGCCAGTTTGTGCCGTTCACTGCTATAGTTGGAAAGCAAAGCTTCTATTTTTAGTTTCTCGAAGTTTCTCAACTTTGCAGCATTGTGATGAGTGGTGAAAATTAAAACGAGTCAGTAAGTCAGTCAGACAGTCAGTCAGTCATAGTGTAAACTTTACGGTGGGTAGGTTGATTTATGCGTATAGTAACTTTTTGTATATGATCAGTAAATTAACAGTTTTTAAATCAGTTTAACTTGCTTTATTTATTAATGCTCTACATCTCTTTTGCTAAGTTCACCAAAATATTAAGAAATCTTGACCCTTACTGTAAATTTAGAGGCATTGCTTTTCCGCGGTTTTGGTTCAAAGGGATTTTCGCAGTATTGCCCCCTGGAACACCCGATTTTTTCTTATACTTCGCAACTGCGCATGTGCCATAGAGCCTTGAACATTTATATTCACGATATAAAGAAATGAGAAGCGACGAGCATTGCTTCAAAACATTCTGGCCGTAAAAATCGAGCAATTCTTTAAGAATCTACGCAATTTATCATCTTATGTTATGAATTACGAGCATTCAATTCAACACAAATATAATTTGGAAGGTTTATCCGTAAATAGAGCTAAGAGGTTAGGAAGAAACGACGCTGTGTTGTTTATGTATTGATAGATCTCTTACATGAATATATATTATGTCGATAGCAAGTCGATACCTGGTATTCTGTATACAGTACATAAATGATACTATACAAAACGAACATTTTGTGCAGTAATCAAATCATTTTGGCGGTATACAGTATTGATTATAAGTATATTGCTTTGTATTGATTTACGCGTCGAAGCATTCACATCATAGACATAAATATGCACCGCGGTTTATTTAAATTATTTACAACGCTACTATTTCGGCTATACTTATGAAATGACGGATAAATTGTTGCCATCATATAAATGTAGTGAATGTTGTCACAGTTGTTTGACGAAGAAAAGAGACTACTAAACTGGGAAAATTGCGCCCGGTTTACATGGGCAACTAAAATTATAATTTAAAAGTGACAATATCCGCGACTAACGTAACTTGAGTACTTTGAGTAATTTCCTTTTGATTAATGTTTAACCTAGTTACTCCGGCGTCAGCGACGGAGTTGAAAATTCGCCCCGGTTTTTTTTTTTTTTTTCGTCGCAAGTGTGTTTTGGCGCGAAATATACTAGCATTTGAAATAATCACACTGCTCACTTGTATCCAGGACTTGATGATGCGACTCTCTTAATTCGCATGTATACGAGCGTATTTATCTACCTCAAAGTTTGGTCTCGCAAGAGTTGTGGTGAACTGCCAAATTTTCAATGCGCGATTTTATTTTGATGATTTAATCATGTGATAGTGGTGATACAATTCGACCACGAGGGCGCACAACACAAATAAACCTTTTCGCTTGCTTTTTACTTTTATGTTGGACAAGAAGTGTTTGTATAGAGTTTTAAGAGGTTCCATGTCAAGTTTAAATATGGTAAGAGTATTTTTAATATGCGTGGATTTTGGTTGTATTTTAATAACATAGATCTGTTCATTTACACCATTTACATATTTAGGAATGCATCATTATATGAGTCATTTATACTTAGCGGATACACAATTACTAACCTCGTAGACACAATTACATGATCTTATATAAAGCTATTAGGTCATACATATAGTCAAATGTGAAAGGGCTGGTTGGATCGAGGGACATTTGAGTATTAAACTATATTCAGATGTATGAAAGGGAGAGGGGGGCATCTTTCATTCTTCTCTAGTGGGATATGGATTATGGGATATCTTCTAGGATATTTATGAATAGTTTATTTTATTTATTAAAATAAATACACACTTAAGTAATTAATTTACTTAATTTACACTTAGGTATATATTTCAGTAGAATTTTTTAACTGTTTTTTAGGTTAAATCACACTCAATATCTCATTGGAGGAGTTCTCACTTTTTACCTCATGCTATCTTTGTAAATTACATGTATGCCAAGTCACAAATTATGAATGCCAAGTTACCAATTATGTATGCCAAACTTACAACTATGAATATAAATATCTTGAGTATTAACACAGTGAAAAATTTGATTAATACAAAAATGATCATTTCTAAAGTTGTCCACTTGAATTTTAGAATTATATATTTGAACAAACTTATTTTCTACAATTCTAAATGCCAACATTTGAATGCTGAAGGTGATACAAATTGCAAAATTATTTGTGAGAAAACTTTGAATACCCAACCAGCTTAACTACAAACGAGCATCAAGTCACATTACATAAAATTTATATCCAAACAAGGCCAATCAGCAGTTATTGAAAAGATGCAATGCAATAGTAGTTTCCGTCAACCAGATGGCAGAGCCCTTCGCAGTATTCAATGAATAAAACTCAGAATGTTAGGTCAAGATGTTCAGAAGGTGATCAAGAGAAACATTGTTTCATCATGCATATATCAGTACACTAAAGTACAGAGGCATGAAGTTCATGGGAACGTTAATAAACATTGTTTTTTTCAATTCACTGAAGAAAAACAGTAAATTTTAAAAACAACATTGTAAGATTTATCAAGAAATTAAAGAAATTGATGTTCTATTATCAAATGAATATTAAACAGAAGCATTTTTACAGAAAACAATCATGCCAAAGTAATGAAAATACTAGTCTTACATTCCAAGATTTAAACCACAGGATGAATTATTGTGGAGTGTGTCTAATGGTCGCGGGTCGCGGGTAAAAGGTGCGGGTGCGGGTAAAAAGTGCGGGTGCGGGTAAAAGGTTCGGGTACGGGAAAAAGTGCGGTTGTCATGATCTGAGTCTGACCATTCGTTTACTACCAACATGCACGTGAACTGTCATATTTATTGTCCAGTATACATAAAGCTTTATAAATCTTGAATACATAAACATCAACTTTATAAAAAACTCCATAACCAACAAGAAACCGTAATAGAAATAACGACAAAGGTTACAGTCCCTTCTGCTCATGTAACTCACAAAATGAACAGTTTTTACCACGAAGACAACCTCACGAGGTTGAATGATTTTGCCGTTGATATAATTTGCTCTAAATCCCGAGTTTGGTATTTTCTACTAAGAAAAGCCTTCAAACTAACTAGTGCAGACCACACATTTGTTTACGTCTTTAAGACATGGGAAAAAGGGACCGTGTCCTACCCCACAGACCTCGATAGTATTATTTTAGTCCAAAACAAGTTTAAACGAGATTAAGAAGAATTTCGCCAGAAGTAATCGTGTTATGTTGTTCCTCATTTAACGAGCTATACAGATCCAACGAAACATTAACATTGCCATTGAACATTGGGTTTTTCCGACGTACGTGAGCAATATTCAGATGGTAGTATGTATTTTGGAAATCTACAGAAAAGTCTGGCTGTCCGGTTGTTGGATTTCGCCTGATAAATCGTCGATCAATATGTTTTATAACAATATTATGTGGAGATCTGCGATGTTGATCGGTGAAGGGTATACCACATCCATAGCAAACTTTTACATTTGTTGGAAGCCGAATCAGTTGATACGGATGTGACGAAAGTCCTAAATGCCAGATAGTGGGAGGCCGGTTAAGGGGTGGCGGGGTTCCATGGTTGGAGCCTGGATGATATCCGTAGGAAAACGGACTATGATTGTAGCCTACTGCCAAATTTCCGTTTGTCACTGGGGCGACGCTTGGAAGATTTCCATGGTTTGGTGCAACATGAAATGGTGGGATAGCATGACCAGACATGTCCGCACCAGCAACTTGAGGAGCCCCGATGGAACATAAAGGTGCATTGTGGGCTACATTAAACTGACCCACGTGTGTTCCTTGACTAAACAGAACAGGGCTTGGCCTTTGGGTGCATGGTGCTACTGTGGATTTGTTACTCGAAACGGTCCGACCATTACTTCTTTTCGCCTTTCTAACCTTTTTCGGTGCTGGAGGGCGATGAGCCGATGAAGGGTCAATCATGTTGCCCCTGAGTGCTGACATTTCTTTGCCCAGCTGTGAAGCCCGAGTAATTTCTTGGCGGTGGGTCTTTTCGCGCCGTTCTGTGACTGTGGGACCTTTTCCCCCCTTAAAATTTCCGTTTTCGAAACCCTCAAGTTCCGCCTCAAGTAAAATACTGTCTCTCGTATCGGCTTGGGCTGCATCTAAAAGTGACATATTCGGGCGGTCTCGGTGCGCCCAACTTGCATGCACAACTTCAGCGAGATTCATTCTGGGAGCATAGCTCGGGTTAAAGGCACGGAAAATGAACGTCCTACGGTGGTCCCACCAGTCTACCCAGGTCTTTAAAAATCCCCTTTCTGGCTTCTTGTTGATGAACTGATGAATGGTATCTCTCGCTGCATTGTATGTCTCTGGTAGATTCGCCATGAGCAAGTCGTCACAGAGGCTTTTAAAAATCTCGGCATCAACACCATCGCGTAATTTTGCTGCCATTTTATTCCTGTTTTCTTTGTAATGAAATTCGCAGCTTTTTACTCGCTGTTCCACAGCTTTGCTACCAAAAACTTTTTTTATGCCGTTCATGTTGGCTCCCGCCATGTCGGTACACCATCCAATTGGGGTGAACTTTTCTTGCCCTGTTTCGCTGTTTAAAGCTTCATTGAACAGCTTCCAAAACAATTCAATATTATCACTGTATTCTTTTTCGGCTTCCATCACTGCCAAAGGAATCTGGCGTTTCAACATCGGATGATAAACGCTGGCAGTCAAAGTGACGTAATTACGGCATCTTTTCACTTTGCCATCAAAATAGCAAAATTCTTTATTCAGAAAGTGATCGCAATCTCTCTCCATATTTTTGGCCATTTGCATTCGAACTTTACTTGTTTTGAATCAGTATGATGGAATATCTGGATTGCAGCGCCTGTCGATGATTCTATAAATCAGAAGCTTGTCCTCTTTGTCAACATATTGTTTAAATGTGGCCAGAGCTTCGAAGTTTTCGCCAGACGGGTTAACACTTTTTTTGAGTTCCTGCTTTTGGTTGGATATCCACTTTCTGTCGAGTACTTGAGAAGCTTCCTTCTTTACTTTAGCCAAATCATCTCCATTTCGTAATGCAGAGAGGATGAAGGTAGACTGAATTTGAGAAGGCTTCAAATCTGGATTCTTTTGTAACAGATCTTTGACCTTCTCTGTTGGTTTCGAGTTCACGTGCCTTATTGGGCACGTGTGTGTTCCAATGCGAAAAACTTTAACATTTTTCTTGCCTGATTTAACGTAACGGCGTGCAGCGCATGGCTGAAAGGTAACTGGTTGTTCGCATACGGCGCATACATCCACGCCATTATTTTTTTCATCTGAAGGACATTTACCACTCCGTACTGAGATCTATAAGGGCACTCGCTGTTTGGACATCTATGGGAGCCCAGACAGTCAGCATAACGCAGCTTTCCTTCACTGGACCATTCTGTTTGTGAACTTTTCTTCCATTTTCTTCCATCAGCTTGAAGTATTTCATTCTTGTTTTTTTGAGTGCTGTATTTGAATTTGTATGAGGAGAGTCCATCAATTCCTTCTGGAAGAGAGGTTACTTCTTCCGTCACCACACCATCCCACATGCTGGGGTGAATTTTCCTTTGCCCACTCCTTCTGGTTTTTCTTTCTTCAGAATCTTCACTATCGATACCAACACTGCTACGAAAGGACTTGTCATCAGTGCTTGATACTTCAGACATCTGATGTTCATAGCTATAAATAAAAAACAGTGTCACTGTGAAAATAATAAGCTTTTGATATTTTAGCACATGTCTAACCTTACACAAATAGCATTCTGCCATTCAAGTTAATTTGAGCATTAGTGATTTGGTATGTGGAGGCCTTGTTCCTGTAGAACGGTAAGCCCTAGCTAGCAGTTGCATACAGTAAAGCCCCGCATAAAAGAACCAGTGAATTTTGACTTCAGGCTGAAGTGGTTCTTTTATAACAGGTACTTAGAAAGAAATCAGGCTGAAGTGGTTCTTAACTGGTTCTTATTTCCAGTCAAAAACAATTGTTCCTGGTTTAGAGTTTTAAACCTCTTATTGTATACAATGAGACTAGTAAATGAACTGTAATTTAACTGTTAATTATATAAACTATAAATGTAACTTGTCTTTAACTAGAATTGGTAATTGTCTAGCCCTTGGGGGCAGATCTTATCATCATTTGAACCATCAGCTGTTAACAAACAGCCAGTTTTTTCAAACAATCTTCTAAAAAATTCTTTATTTTTACTTAGCTCCCTCCATGCCTCTGCTGTCCACTTTGTCATAAGGATCCTTCTTTCTCTGGCTGAGAGTTTGTCATGCCATTTTTCTAGATTTTGTTCCTCCTCCAACCACCTTTCCATTTCTGCGGCTATTTTTACTTTCATCATTTTTCCACATCCTGCATCAACTGGCTGGATCTTATCCGTGTGATTTTCAGGAAGCATGTACACTGATGCATTGATTTCATTTCTGCATACTTGGTGAAATGTCTTGCTTTGCTGAAAACCAACATTATCAACAAAGATAACCTTGTCATCTTTGTCTTTTCCAATCCCAGGAACAAGTGTTTGTTTGACCCACTGCATATTTACCTCTGTATCCATCCAGGCAGATGGCTGGTAAAACACATCAACTCCCTTGTCATACTGTTCTTTCTCAAAGATACTTAAATTCCCCTTTCCCCTGAATACGATGGCTGGCTTGACATTTTGTTCACCTTCGGCACGTATACAAAGTTGTAGGGTAGCTTGCCTTTTATCTAAGCCAGATGATGGTTGTGACACCCATACCTGCTTGCTACCCAATGTATCATAAGTTGTTTCTTGCCCAGTAACAAATGCAAGGGGCACCTGATCAATGTTGTATCTGTTCTTGGGTAGCCATCTTCCATATTTTGGATCAATAGAAGACCTAATTTAAAGATAAAAATTAATGCCCAGCAAATGACTTTGAGACAAGACATAATATATATAAGAAATTTAATTGCTAACGTTTCGTTGCTTGCAGCGCAACATCATCAGAGCGGTTTAAGATTATTACAAATAATTGGTAAAAAAATAATAAATAATAAAAATAATTAAAAATAATTAATAATAGAAGACCTGTTTCTTCTCCTTTGTGTTTTTAAAGATTTCCTCAAATTCCTGTGAAACTTCTGTATAGTACTCCTACCATCATCTGCAGAATCTTTCTTTTTGTTTGTGCGACGTCTGAGAACAATGCCATGTCTTTTCTTGAATCGCTGAAACCAGTTGTGACTGCCTTTAAACCTTTCTGCTGCTTCTTTACCGTAGCACATTTCGATTTTAGCTTTCATTGTTTTCTTAATCCAAAGTTTAGAAACTTTGCTGCCTGCTGCTCTACGCAGTTTAAATTCTGATACCAGTAATTTTGATGCCCGAGGGTACTTTTCCATATGTTTTGATCGGTTATCAGTAATTCTCCGCCTTCGTCTAGCAGCTGTGGTTGGGCCCGTGTTTTTCCTGTATTTGTTGAGGACTAGTTGTTCTTGTAATCGGTCTTTTTCTTTGTTCCATTTTATCACCAGGGATTTGCTGACTCCCCTTTCCTTTGCAACTGCTAAAAATTTGCCCACCTTTCCCTTGGTTTTGATTTGATCCAAACGGTTAAGAGTTTTTATTTTAAAGTCCAGGGTGTATGAGTTCCGTTTAGCACTTCCTCTTCGCTTTTCCTGTTGTTGTGGCCTTTGGCCTTGTCCCGACTGGCCATTAATATTGAATTCTTTGTCTGATTCAGATTGACGATTGTCAAGATTCTCTAATGAATCTGTCTGCAACACTCCAGATGGTCCTTGGCTTAAACTACGATGAGTGTTACCAGCCGCAGCAGCAGACTGAATTTCATGTTTTAGGCGCACGTGAATGTTAAGATACTGCTCTCCTGTAAACGATTTTTCACAGATGTTGCATTTCAAAGATTTGCTGCTCAGTTCAACTGACTTTCCTAATGTTTCTGTAATGTCGTAAAGCCGTCCATCTTTCAGTTCTACTGACTTTTTGATACCACAATCGAATAATGTACGATTCATTTGCATAAACAGTTACAAACTAGCTACAATGGCGCTGGATTGGCAAGATGTGATCATGTGAATGCCATGAAAGAGAGACGACTGGGTACGAGTCAGACACTCTTGTAAGAACCGTTCCGCCATCTTGGATATTTCTTGCTAGTTTTTCAAAGAAAATATACTAAAATACCGACATTTCTCTGCAAGAATGGAAAATGAGTATGGAATTTATGTAGAGGCAAGCATCCGTGGTTATCATGCATATTTTCAAACTTCAACTGTTTACATTGGTGAGATACTGACTTGTGAAGTGGAACCCGACAATGAATATGACAAATACGCTGTGGTAGTTAAGAATGAAGATGGCTACACTGTAGGGCATGTTCCAATCGAATTGTCAAAAATCTTTCACAAATTTTTAGTGGACTATGGTGAACTTGAGGCTGAATGCATTGGGAGTAAATACAATGAAGGGGAAGGCAAAGGTCTAGAAATACCAGTGGACTATAAACTTATTGGAAATGCTGGTTATCTGGAACAACTTCTTAAAAAGCTCAAGAAAATTGAAATATCTAGCAACTGGAAACTTACTGATATCATAAAATTAAGTTAGATTCCTTACTTCTTCACTTTTGTACTGGACATTGTCATTTGTTTTTACTGTTTATGTTAATATGGTTGATGCATAGCGTATATTTTATACCCATCAAGTACTGAGTGAACAAAGGGCCATCATGATGTAAGTTTTTTGAATATAGTTATGCAAGTTGAATTATGTTGTGAATTGATTGCTGTTTTGATAAAATAAATGCATGCATGATGTGGTTGAAAGACATAATTCCTGCTGGCAAGATTACAGTATTTTGTTTTCTTCTTAGTACCTGCTTACTAATTCAGCTAAAAGTTTAATAAGGTTTCTTAAGAACCAGTTTCATTTGTCAGCCTGAAGTGGTTCTTGTATTTTGGGTGCTTAATTGCCCAAATTTCAGGCTGGTGGTTCTTAACCCACTGGTTCTTTTATGCGGGGCTTTACTGTACACTACACCCGTTAACATGTCGTTGTCCAAGGTGCATGCCTCAAACATGTTTTTTAATGATTAACATGTTTTATATTTTGCAGTCTATCTCACATCCTGGCTGAATAAGTTCTTGGTACCTCGAATCCTGGCTGAATAAGTTCTTTGTACATTTTTTCTTATTCGCTAAGCTGCATTTTCTAGGTAATTCAAGTTTTTCTGGTGTACCCTCTCCTGAACTAAGGTTGCTAAAAGATGTGGTGAGGTCTATTATGTCACTATTTTTCTTTTCAACTTTCTAAAATTAAAAAGAAAGTGTCATAATTGGTGTATTTTATATACATGGGTAATTTAACTCGTCGGCAATATTACTGCTGGTCTGCTACTGATGGCAATCATGTCTGGGAAATGCTGGACCACAAGCTGCTAATTTCCACGGTAGAATATTAACCTGGGACCTATTACCTACCACTTTTTTCTTTTGGCTTTTGATCGGTGACATGCCTTGAGAGCTGTTAGCTGTATTCTCATCAGAGCTAATACAGATAATAGCATCAGGGTCATCAGTAGTTGAACTGTTGATTGGATCATCTTTGAACAGGTGGTACTAGTGAAGAACAAAAAAATTAAAGAATGTACACTATTGTAGGAAACTTTCTAACTTTATTTTTTTCGGTATACTACAAAATGTTTGTTTGACAGGTCTTTTTGCAGAATCAAGAGCTTCAAGAGAGCCGATGGGGGTCATAGGGCTTAAACTTTCCAAAATAGGTCAAATAATTTTTCAGAATCGCCCCCCCCTGCACTCCCGTTCATTTTGACCCAGCCCCCCCCTGTTTATTTGGCACCGCAAAGATGAATTTGGGTACAAAATAAGACCAGCGTTTGTATATATATACATAGTAAGTTAGTAAAATTACATCTAACCTGAGGCACTCCTTTCCAGACAGGTACACCAGGGTTAAACTCTTCAACTCCAGTAAAGTCCATCTCAGTTACCTTTCTTTTTTTGTGGGGTGCCTATTTTATTAACAAACATTACATAAAAAATGCAGATATTTTGATCAAGTTTCTTGTTATAGAGAAATTATTTTTGGAGCTATTATTCCAATTGATTTCTTCCCATTCCCTTCTTCTGTCAGTCTCACTGAGATACACACTTAAATATTAATAAATTAATAAATAAAAATAAATAAATCATAGATAAATAAATAAATAAATAAATAATACAAAAATATAAAATAATAATTTGAACATCTTTTAAAAATATTTATGAATATCAAATGTTTTCACATGGTCAGGTGTCAAAGGTCAAATGGTGTCATAAATATACCATGATAATACTTTAAGAATTTACCCAAAATATTGCATAAATTGCATGGGTTGTTACAGCTGGATTCTTGAAATGCAATCAACTTTGTGAACTGCACTTACTGTTTTTAAACAACGACTTTTATCCTTAATCCACTGAGTTGGGGATGATGGTCTGTTGATGTTCTGGTGATGTTCTGTAGTCTTTGACAGGTTCTCCTCTACATCTTTTCCATGAGTGGTGGGCTCTGGCCTTTTAACAACATCAGCGAATGTTCTTCTACTCTGAAACTAAATTAAGAATTGAAAGTTATTACTCAAGCAGCACTACACTTTTCCCAATTATTTCATTTGGTTATTAATTGTTTATAATATAGTGTGGTAATTTATAAACAGCTGTTTAATATGTATATTTACCTTACTCTCTGTAGGTTTTATTGCCACATAATGATCACCAGTATGACCAAAATATAATGTGCCCAACTTTACGCCTGACTTGGGAAATTTGGTCTCTGTGCATTCTTCTACATTATCCTAAAAAAGATCACCATTGGGTGACAGGGACAAATCTGCTGTAATAATGGTAGTGCTGTTAATCAGATATTGTTTTGAGATGCTGAATAATTAAATAACCTGTCAAACAGTAATTTCAGAATACAAGTCCACTTTGTAATGGTCATTTATCTAATATAAACAGACTACTTGAAAATGGGAAAATACAAAACATGGACCCCTAGTCCATGGACCCCCTATATAATTATATGCTTATTTTATTTTTGAAGGGTTAAAGTTAGGTTTAAGGATGGGGTTAGAGTCAGGCGCGGATCTAGGGGTAGGCAACATAGTCAAGTGACTATGGTAAATTATCCAGATAATAATTACCAAATTCCCAGTTCCCAATTCACAAAGTATGCATTCATAAGTGGAAACATGACAGTTAATTATTCATATTTTCATATCACAGTCCAGTTATTTATAGATATATAGCTCATTGGTATTTAGGCAAGCCATGAAGCAAGCCAATGAGAGGCAGCTATTTTGCCTATGCCTGGCGGCCGATACAGCCTTTTGATTGGCTTATAGCTTTTTTGCCTAACCAAGACGAATTTGCCTAACTTGACGTAATCAGGAAGCCTCATGATTGGGTAATTTTTTTAAATTCTATTATTTCATTGGCTTGCATTTTTTGCCTAATCTTTGGCGAGTTGAACCAATCACTGTGCTTCGTAAGCATGCCTGTGTTAGTCATGTTAGGCAAAGACTAGGCAAAGAGTGGAAACATGCCTTTTCAATCGCTCTGAGCATCGAAGGATTAAATTTCGAAGTTAGCTTCTGCTTTTTCGCGTTCGTTTTGTTATTGTGTTATTTTACAATGTCTTCATCGCCTTGTAGTGATTTGTACGAGCCATTCGAACGATTTAGAGTGTCTAAATGACGCGATATTAATGCGACGTTCGATCTTTGTATTTATGAAGGCGACACGCTCAAGGCTAAGCTCAAATGTTTGTGTGGAGTTATATGTGCCGAAGCATGCTCGTAATGGCAAGAAAAAGGCTTGTACTGCAATAAGTTAACTATATTTTGTTTATTCCATGCTACGCTTTTATATAACTGTGTTTTTAGATCTCAAATCGGCAAAATGATTGTCGAACAACAACAAGCATGGCTAGTTCTGTATGTATTCAAATATAAATTTACATATGTCTGCGCTGGCCGGGTCAAAGGTTGCTATAAATGAATATATAACTTAAATATGATATGAAAGACACAAAGTTAGCATGTTCACTTTTAGTTATTATTATTCCGTATTCCTGATGTATATCACATGTATAAATACGTTCATATGAAAATTATGAGTGAATATACATCATGATGTTGACATTGTAACTCTGTCGTCAGTCCGCGATATAATTGTCGGATACTTAATCTAGCGTGATTTTAATTTCCTGTTTTGAATATTTTCCTACTTCTCCTGCTTCAGCTTCGGCCCTTGTACTAGTTAGTAACAATAATACTCAAAGTTGGGACTACTCAAAGTAGGGACTAAGGAATACTTTGGGAAGAAGTAGATTCTCCCCTCAATGTCATCTCAAAAACAATTTTTAGCTAGCGTATATTTTTAAAAGTGTATTCTAGGCATGCTGATGAGCCTAATATGGGGCGAAGCAGTTCAGCTGGTAGTCTGAAGGCTATAATTTAAAAAATCGAACATGCTAGTAAATGAGTCATGCGTGACGCCATACGTGACGTCATAAATGACGTCATAAAATTTGACTAAGGTATGAAAAATCCTAGATCCGCACCTGGTTAGAGTTTTGGTTGAAGTTAGGTTTGGGGTGAGGATTTGGGTTGGGGTTAATGTTATTAGAATAGGAGTGTTGGACAGGGTTGGAGTTAAGGTTGGGTAGGGTTTGAGTTACGGTTATGGTTATAGTTACAGTTACAACTAACTATGTCAATATCACCCAAACACGAACCCTAAATCTAAGCCCAAGCCTACACCCAATCCCAACCCTAAACATAACCCTCATTCTAACCCTAACCCAAACAAGACCCCCCCCCCAATATATATATATATATATATATATATATATATATATATATCAGTACTCTATGACTATCACTATAGCATGTAACAAATATACCTCAGGCTTGCGTAGTGACAATATTACTAGCTCTTGCAGGAAGACCTTA